CACACAGTGACACACACACACAGTGACACACACAGTGACACACACACAGTGACACACACAGTGACACACACAGTGACACACACACACAGTGACACACACAGTGACACACACAGTGACACACACACACAGTGACACACACAGTGACACACACACAGTGACACACACAGTGACACACACACAGTGACACACACAGTGACACACACACAGTGACACACACACAGTGACACACACAGTGACACACACAGTGACACACAGTGACACACACACACAGTGACACACACAGTGACACACACACAGTGACACACACACAGTGACACACACAGTGACACACACAGTGACACACACACAGTGACACACACACAGCAGGTGACACACACAGTGACACACACACACAGTGACACACACAGTGACACACACAGTGACACATACAGTGACACACACACACAGTGACACACACACAGTGACACACACAGTGACACACACACAGTGACACACACACACAGTGACACACACAGTGACACACACACAGTTACACACACAGTGACACACACAGTGACACATACACACACACAGTGACACACACAGTGACACACACACACAGTGACACACACAGTGACACACACAGTGACACACAGTGACACACACAGTGACACACACACAGTGACACACAGTGACACACACAGTGACACACACAGTGACACACACACAGTGACACACAGTGACACACACAGTGACACACACACAGTGACACACACACAGTGACACACAGTGACACACACAGTGACACACACACACAGTGACACACACAGTGACACACACACAGTGACACACACAGTGACACACACACACAGTGACACACACAGTGACACACACACAGTGACATACAGTGACACACACAGTGACACACACAGTGACACACACAGTGACACACACACACACAGTGACACACACAGTGACACACACAGTGACACACACAGTGACACACACACACAGTGACACACACAGTGACACACACAGTGACACACACACACAGTGACACACACAGTGACACACACAGTGACACACACACACAGTGTGACACACACAGTTTGACACACACAGTGACACACAGTGACACACAGTGACACACACAGTGACACACACACAGTGACACACACAGTGACACACACACAGCAGGTGACACACACAGTGACACACACAGTGACACACACAGTGACACACACACACAGTGACACACACAGTGACACACACACAGTGACACACACAGTGACACACACACAGTGACACACACAGTGACACACACAGTGACACACACACACAGTGACACACACAGTGACACACACACAGTGACACACACAGTGACACACACAGTGACACACACACAGTGACACACACAGTGACACACACACAGTGACACACACACAGTGACACACACAGTGACACACACAGTGACACACACAGTGACACACACACAGTGACACAGTGACACACACACAGACACAGTGACACACACACAGTGACACACACAGTGACACACACACAGTGACACACACACAGTGACACACACACACAGTGACACACACAGTGACACACACACAGTGACACACACAGTGACACACACACACACAGTTACACACACAGTGACACACACAGTGACACACACACAGTGACACACACACAGTGACACACACACACACAGTGACACACACAGTGACACACACAGCAGGTGACACACACAGTGACACACACAGTGACACACACACAGTGACACACACAGTGACACACACACACACAGTGACACACACACACACACAGTGACACACACACAGTGACACACACAGTGACACACACAGTGACACACACACACACAGTGACACACACAGTGACACACACACACAGTGACACACACAGTGACACACACAGTGACACACACAGTGATACACAGTGACACACACACACACAGTGACACAGTGACACACACAGTGACACACACACACACACAGTGACACACACACACAGTGACACACACAGCAGGTGACACACACAGTGACACACACACACAGTGACACATACACACAGTGACACACACAGTGACACACACAGTGACACACACACACACAGTGACACACACAGTGACACACACAGTGACACACACAGTGACACACACACACAGTGACACACACAGTGACACACACACAGTGACACACACACAGTGACACACACACACAGTGACACACACACACAGTGACACACACAGTGACACACACACAGTGACACACACACAGTGACACACACACACACAGTGACACACACACACACAGTGACACACACAGTGACACACACACAGTGACACATAGTGACACACACACAGTGACACACACAGTGACACACACACAGTGACACACACACAGTGTACACACACACACACAGACACACACAGTGACACACACAGTGACACACACAGTGACACACACACAGTGACACACACAGTGACACACACACACAGTGTACACACACACACAGACACACACAGTGACACACACAGTGACACACACATACAGTGACACACACAGTGACACACACAGACACACACACAGCAGGTGACACACACAGACACACACAGACATACACAGACACACACAGTGACACACACACACACAGTGACACACACACACACACAGTGACACACACACACAGTGAGACACACACACACAGTGACACACACACACACAGTGACACACACAGACACACACACAGCAGGTGACACACACAGACACACACAGACATACACAGACACACACAGTGACACACACACACACAGTGACACACACACACACACACAGTGACACACACACACACAGTGACACACACACACACAGTGACACACACACACACAGTGACACACACACACACAGTGAGACACACACAGTGACACACACACACACAGCAGGTGACACACACACACAGTGACACACACAGTGACACACACAGTGACACAGACACACACACACAGTGACACACACACACACACAGTGACACACACACAGCAGGTGACAACAACAACAACAACCGCCATTCGCCACTAAGTGGCGGTGACGTCACCACGACGCTTGTGCCAGGCCATGTGCACCTTGAGGCCACGTGAAGTGTCAAACGCCCACGGGCTAAGATGACTGAGATGACTGGCTGATGCACCACCTGTGCCCCCTACTGTGCCAACCTGCTGTGCTTTAGCCACCCGGCGCTCCGCTCGTTGTTGTGAGCGTCGCTCCTCCGCCCTCCGTTGTTGTTGGAGGGCGACTGCCTCCAGTAGCCTCAGGGTGCACCTAGCCTGGCACTGCCCAGTAGCAGCGTCCTTCACGAGCCTCCTCCACAGAGGCCGATCTTGACACCGCTGGTACCAGTCATCTGCAAGTCCACTCAGCTCCACGTCCTCCTGTACCACATCACTCCATCTCTTCTCTAGCCCGTGCCGCGCCCGCTTAGCCCCCTCAATCCGGCCGAACAAAACAAAACCCCCTACCTCCTCGCGGTGCCGGACGGGCAACTCTGTCGTGGACAGTGCTGTGGGGGGAGATCCAATTTTGATTGGCTCCTCCCCTCATGGCGTCTGTGTCCACCACAGGGGCTAAACGGGGGCTCTGGACGGGTGCAAGGGGCTGGTAACCCCTCCACCTTCAATTAATTACCACGAAACCACGAGTTAAACAGACACACACACACCCAGACACACACACTGCAGGTGACACACACACAGACACAGCAGGTGACACACACACACTGCAGGTGACACACACACACAGACACACTGCAGGTGACACACAGACTGCAGGTGACACACACACAGACACACACACACAGCAGGTGACACACACACAGACACACACACAGACACACACACTGCAGGTGACACACACACACACACTGCAGGTGACACACACAGTGACACACACATACACAGACACACACAGTGACACACACAGTGACACACACAGTGACACACACACAGCAGGTGACACACACAGTGACACACACAGTGACACACTCACAGTGACACACACAGTGACACACACACAGCAGGTGACACACACAGTGACACACACAGTGACACACACAGTGACACACTCACAGTGACACACACACAGTGACACACACAGTGACACACACAGTGACACACACAGACACACACACAGCAGGTGACACACACACAGACACAGCAGGTGACACACACACAGACACAGCAGGTGACACACACAGTGACACACACAGTGACACACACAGCAGGTGACACACACACAGACACAGCAGGTGACACACACACACACACACAGACACACACACACACAGACACACACACAGAGACACACACACAGAGACACACAGATAGACACACACACACACAGACACACACAGAGATAGACACACACAGACACACACATACAGATAGACACACACAGACACACACAGACACACACAGAGCAGGTGACACACACACTGCCAGTGCGTGTGTCTGTGTGTGTCTGTGTGTGTATCTGTGTGTATGTCTGTGTGTATGTCTGTGTGTGTGTGTCTGTGTGTATGTGTGTCTATCTGTGTGTGTGTCTATCTGTGTGTGTGTCTATCTGTGTGTGTGTCTGTGTGTGTGTGTGTCTGTGTGTGTGTGTGTGTCTCTGTGTGTGTGTGTCTGTGTGTGTGTGTCTGTGTGTGTGTCTGTGTGTGTGTGTCTGTGTGTGTCTGTGTGTGTGTCTGTGTCTGTGTGTCTGTGTGTGTGTCTGTGTGTGTATCTGTGTGTGTATCTGTGTGTGTATCTGTGTGTGTCTGTGTGTGTGTGTGTGTGTCTGTGTCTGTCTCTGTGTGTGTCTGTGTGTCTCTGTGTGTGTGTGTCTGTGTGTCTGTGTGTGTGTATCTGTGTGTGTCTCTGTCTCTGTGTCTGTGTTGACCTCCCACCTCCACCTCGCCACCCACCCACCTTGCCACCCACCACCCACCCACCACCCCAG